ATACCGACTTATTGAACGTTTACACCTGGCAACCGGTTAAGAGAGTATAACAAACAACGGTTTAACTCAAATATAAGTTAAATTTATTGTGTATTGCATAGGCTTCAGCACAGGCATAGATATATTAAGTATATATATTTATATAATATCTATATATATGTTCTTAGTGATATATATATATATATATATATATATATATATATATATATATAATATTTAAATGCAAATTCAATAAAAATAATTCCAATAAGATATAACAAAATATTCAACAAATAAGGCAAATATTTTAACTAGCTCGTTTTTTTTTTTGCTTTTAAAGTTTTTAATAACAGTTATTTAGGTGTTTTTATACGGGAGCGCACAAGGCCTTGTGTATGTGTGTGTGGGGGGGGGGGGAGGGAGACAATGCGCAAGGAGGTGCTTGGAGGCTGGCTGACCCACGTGAGAGACGTGACTATAGATTAATGTGACCTCATATACCACGCCGCGGGGACTTCTTGCGGCGTTTGCATTAGTTTATGCGGCGTTGGCCGCGGTCAATGCGGCGTTGGCCACGGTCAATGCGGCGTTGGCCACGGTCAATGCGGCGTTGGCCACGGGCAATGCGGCGTTGGCCGCGGTCAATGCGGCGTTGGCCACGGTCAATGCGGCGTTGGCCACGGTCAATGCGGCGTTGGCCACGGTCAATGCGGCGTTGGCCACGCTCAATGCGGCGTTGGCCACGCTCAATGCGGCGTTGGCCACGCTCAATGCGGCGTTGGCCACGCTCAATGCAGCGTTGGCCATGCTCAATGCAGCGTTGGCCACGCTCAATGCGGCGTTGACCAAGGAGAGGTTTTGGCATGTCATGCATCCTTAGTTGAAATGGTTCCTGTAGAAACATGAGTGTAGAAAAAGGAAGTTGCCTCAGGACCTGTGTGAGTCATAAACTCACCATATATATGAGGCTAGAGGGATCATGAGAGCTACGTCAGTCATTAACTCACCATATATGAGGTTAGAGGGATCATGAGAGCTACTTCAGTCATTAACTCACCATATATGAGGCTAGAGGGATCATGAGAGCTACGTCAGTCATTAACTCACCATATATGAGGCTAGAGGGGGCCATATGATTGCTACATGAGTCAGCAACTCACCATATATGAGGCTAGAGGGGGCCATATGATTGCTACATGAGTCAGCAACTCACCATATATGAGGTTAGAGGGATCATGAGAGCTACGTCAGTCATTAACTCACCATATATGAGGCTAGAGGGATCATGAGAGCTACGTCAGTCATTAACTCACCATATATGAGGCTAGAGGGGGCCATGAGAGCTACGTGAGTCATTAACTCACCATATATGAGGCTAGAGGGGGCCATGAGAGCTACATGAGTCAGCAACTCATCATATATGAGGCTAGAGCTACCATATGAGGAGTGGCGGTGCTAGCATCAGGCAGAAACAGCTCCCTGTCGCTGCTGTTTTATCTTGCCTTCGATGACACAAATTAAGAACCATTTCTAGTAAAAATTAGGCTATTCAATTTATAATTTTTGGGTGTTTTGCGTTCCGTCTGGCAGCCTTTTACGGCACATAAATAGTGATGATGATGATAATAATTATTATTATTATTATAATGGGTTGTTGTGGTTATAGAGGGTTCCCTGGACCAACTTCCCCCCCCCCCCAGGGGGCGCCGCCCACAATAGGGGCGTAATAGTTCCCGCGCTCCTATTTACTGTTCCGTGAACATTGAACCCGGAGATCAATTTGAAGTATCAATTTTTGATCACTATTTCGTTAGTAATTGTATTCCATTCAGGTCATGAGCGCCAAAATATTATACACTAGACGAGGCCCATCGGTGATGACAAACATATTTCTTCTTGCATCTCGATAAGAAAGTTTAAAGTTATTTAACTATTTATGAATGTTTTTTTAGTCCGGCAAAAACTGGTCTTTAGCAGCATGTTGATAAGAGTAATTATATTGTTATCAGCGTGCTAGATGATGTTATTACACTCGTGCTAGTGGGTGCTAGCTCCTGGGCTCCACCCTTCCCTCAAGCCACTCTGGCCAGTCCATGTGTAAAGGACCAGAAATAACGAGACGTTTGACATTATTGACATGTATAATTGTATTGTATTATAAGTCGTAAATTACTTGTATTAGAAGTGTGTAAGGATCACGGTGTGTATACACTACCGGCGGTACGAATACAAATATGAATACACCGCAACCATACGAATATGGGTGCGAATACATCGTGTATAGCGGCGTATATATACACGGAGTGACGGCGTATACACCGCGTATAGCGGCGTACATATACACGGAGTGACGGCGTATACACCGCGTATAGCGGCGTGGCAGGTGTTGAGGATAGTCTGAGCTAAGTGGTCAGCGGAGATGTCATTATTATGTCATTAATGGCAGCCAAAGGCGGCTTCCCGCGCTGACTGTGATCCAGACTGTTCCTGAACTGCTGACCTCTTGTTCAACGGCCCTCACATGTTTCTTCACGTCAGTGTGCTTCCACCCCCCCCCCCCCTTTACCTGAAGTTACCCAAGGGCCACTATCTCTAGTGGCCCTCGACGGGGGGGGGGGGGGAATAGGAAGCCGGCGGCTTGTCAAAGGTCACCTGGAATTTTTCCCCAGTTGAATCTTGAGGTAAAGAGAATTTGTCTTAATGTTTAGGGTGTAATCGGTGTGAGTCCCGCTCCGTGAACCTTTCCTGGTAGGAGACTCACCTTAGACTTGGCGGGAGTCTGTCGCTCTCCTTTGATGGCTCTCCTGAGGTGAGGTCGCTGTGCTCGGGTACTGTAGTAGAGGAGTGTAAGGTCGGGAGGAGGGGAGCAGGGTAGGGAAGAAGGGAGCAGGGTGGGGAGTAAGGGAGCAGGGTGGGGAAGAAGGGAGTAAGGGAGCAGGGTGGGGAAGAAGGGAGCAGGGAGCAGGGTGGGGAGGAGGGGAGCAGGGTGGGGAGGAAGGGAGCAGGGTGGGGAGGAAGGGAGCAGGGTGGGGAAGAAGGGAGCAGGGTGAGGAGGAAGGGAGCAGGGTGGGGAGGAAGGGAGCAGGGTGGGGAAGAAGGGAGTAAGGGAGCAGGGTGGGGAAGAAGGGAGCAGGGAGCAGGGTGGGGAGGAGGGGAGCAGGGTGGGGAGGAAGGGAGCAGGGTGGGGAGGAAGGGAGCAGGGTGGGGGAAGCCGTGTACGCAAGGAGACAGGACGTCACCCAGGAGGGTTCCTAGTACCGCCTTTACGCAAGCTTACCGAGCAAGAGTTGCGTCAAACACAAACCAGGATTAGCAAGAGAGATAAATCCCCCGGACCATAACAACACGTTAACCATCTGGACGCAACACAACCCCAACACTGTAAGCGACTTCCTCCCAGCTGGTGTCTGCGCCTCCGTCGGCGCTAACCGGTACTCATCTTGCGTAAACTGCCACCCATTGGAGCACCCATGATAATTTTGACACCTGTGTCATACCGCCACGCCGCTCTTTGACTCTGCAACCTTGCCCGTCTTCAGGGTGTAAAGTGCCCCCTTCCCCCCAACATACCCCGTGCCCCCATACGCTGCTATTTCTTGATCACTGAGCAGGTAGAGGAGTAATGGGTTGCTGGGGGGAGGATGGGGCTGGGATAATGGGTGGCGGCGTTTGTACATGGTCTGAAGTCTTCACTATGGTGCTATGACCAAATTCGTTCAGTACCGTTGTGGTTAAGTGAGGTCTTAACAAAGTTGTTAGGAACCAACTAGCCTCGTATCTTTTATCAGGAATTGTCTTGAATTCTTCTCTGCGGGACCTTTGAGTCTGGCGCCGTTGACTCGGCGTTAATTCGGTCGTTTGCAAACGGAGGAATTTAGATTCGTGCGCACCAGTCTCTGTTGGTGGTCGTCTTTCTCGTTACTGTTGGAATCAACGGCTTGTTTAGCAGATTTGTCCCATGGGGAGACAGTCATGAGACTGCTTATATCTGTACGACAGGCATGATTATATATGGAACGGTAGGCATGACTATATATGGAACGACAGGCATGATTGTATATGGAACAACAGGCATGATTATATATGGAACGACAGGCATGATTATATATGGAACGACAGGCATTATTATATATGGAACGACAGGCATGGTTATATATGGAACGACAGGCATGATTATATATATGGAACGACAGGCATGATTATATATATGGAACGACAGGCATGATTATATATAAACAGGCATGATTATATATGGAACGACAGGCATGATTATATATGGAACAACAGGCATGATTATATATAGAGCGATAGGCATGATTATATATGGAACGACAGGCATATTACACAGTATATGGAACGACAGGCATGATTATATATGGAACAACAGGCATTATTATATAAGGAACAACATGTATATTATATATGAACAAACATGCCTCTGGTGTAACAGGCAGAGTCTGTTGTCTACGGAGAAGAGAAGCAGCCCGTAACAGCTGTCTAACTCTCAGGTACCTATTTATTGCTAGGTAACAGGGGCATCGGGGTAAAAGAAACTCTGCCCATTTTGTTTCCGCCTCCACCGGGGATCGAACCTGGAACCTCAGGACTACGAACCCGAAGTGCTGTCCACTCAGCTGTGAGGCCCCTTCATCAGGTTGTGATCGGAGTGATAAAACTCGAAATTTAATCCTTTGCGCCGGTGAACGGACATTACGACGCACTAGTAGGCATGGGGAGGGAGGCGCCGAGGGTATGGAGAGGGAGGCGCCGTGGGTATATAGAGGGAGGCGCCGTGGGTAGAGGGAGGTGGCGGCGTTGGGGATGGAAGGAGCTGGGCGCCTTATCATCAACACTTGTAGCGGTGTGGGGGCTCCATCACACCGCCTCGCACAGCCAATCCCAGCCACGCCATTCAACGTTCCACTCCCATTGGTTAAGGTCACCCTTTAGGCCACACAACGGATGATATTACCGACGTAATATATAGAGACACTCAACCTGTTGGACCAGAAGCACCGGGACAAGTGGCGGAGTAGCACCAACACGCTCAGTAGAAATCTTGAACTCCGATATACGCTCTGAAATCTTGTCGGTCTTGATATATTACGTCCACTAGTGTGTGTTTGTGTGTGTCAAGTCGGTGCTGTATGTGCGCGCTGATAGGAATCCTGTGATATTGCGGTTTTATCCCTGCACAAACGGTTCTCTCTGTTCAGCGGAATAAGGCAACGCTAGAACCACAATGTTGAAAACTGAGAGCGTGCACAAACTGATGCCGTCTGAAGTGTGCGACAAGATCAAGACGGAGGTCATGGGACAGCAGCACCTGAGCGCCACGTCGGAAGGAGTCGAACCCACTGTAACTCTGGAGGATCGGGAACTTTGGACCCGCTTCCAGGCTCTCACCAACGAGATGATTGTTACCAAGTCCGGCCGGTGAGTGTCTTGTTGTGGTGGTGCTTGTGAGGGGGTTGTGGTGGTGCTTGTGAGGGGGTTGTGGTGGTGCTTGTGAGGGGGGTTGTGGTGGTGCTTGTGAGGGGGTTGTGGTGGTGCTTGTGAAGGGGTTGTGGTGGTGCTTGTGAGGGGGTTGTGGTGGTGTTTGTAAGGGGGTTGTGGTAGTGCTTGTGAGGGGGTTGTAGTAGTGCTTGTGAGGGGGTTGTGGTGGTGCTTGTGAGGAGGTTGTGGTGGTGCTTGTGAGGGGGTTGTGGTGGTGCTTGTGAGGGAGTTGTGGTGGTGTTTGTGAGGGGGTTGTGGTGGTGCTTGTGAGGGGGTTGTGGTGGTGCTTGTGAGGGGGTTGTGGTGGTGCTTGTGAGGGGGTTGTGGTGGTGCTTGTGAGGGGCTTGTGGTGGTGCTTGTGAGGAGCTTGTGGTGGTGCTTGTGAGGGGGTTGTGGTGGTGCTTGTGAGGGGGTTGTGGTGGTGCTTGTGAGGGGGTTGTGGTGGTGCTTGTAAGGGGGTTGTGGTAGTGTTTGTGAGGGGGTTGTGGTGGTGCTTGTGAGGGGGTTGTGGTAGTGTTTGTGAAGGGGTTGTGGTGGTGCTTGTGAGGGGGTTGTGTTGGTGCTTGTGAGGGGGTTGTGGTGGTGCTTGTGAGGGGGTTGTGGTGGTGCTTGTGAGGGGGTTGTGGTGGTGCTTGTGAGGGGGTTGTGGTGGTGCTTGTGAGGGGGATGTGGTGATGCTTGTGAGGGGGTTGTGGTGGTGCTTGTGAGGGGGGTTGTGGTGGTGCTTGTGAGGGGGTTGTGGTGGTGCTTGTGAGGGGGTTGTGGTGGTGCTTGTGAGGGGGTTGTGGTGGTGCTTGTGAGGGGGTTGTGGTGGTGCTTGTGAGGGGGGTTGTGTTGGTGCTTGTGAGGGGGTTGTGGTGGTGATTGTGAGGGGGTTGTGGTGGTGTTTGTGAGGGGGGTTGTGTTGGTGCTTGTGAGGGGGTTGTGGTGGTGCATGTGAGGGGGTTGTGGTGGTGCTTGTGAGGGGGTTGTGGTGGTGCTTGTGAGGGGGTTGTGGTGGTGCTTGTGAGGGGGTTGTGGTGGTGCTTGTGAGGGGGTTGTGGTGGTGCTTGTGAGGGGGTTGTGGTGGTGCTTGTGAGGGGGGTTGTGGTGGTGCTTGTGAGGGGGTTGTGGTGGTGCTTGTGATGGGGTTGTGGTGCTTGTGAGGGGGTTGTGGTGGTGCTTGTGATGGGGTTGTGGTGCATGTGAGGGGGTTGTGGTGGTGCTTGTGAGGGGGTTGTGGTGGTGCTTGTGAGGGGGTTGTGGTGGTGCTTGTGAGGGGGTTGTGGTGGTGCTTGTGAGGAGATTGTAGTGGTGCTTGTGAGGGGGTTGTGGTGGTGCTTGTGAGGGGGTTGTGGTGGTGCTTGTGAGGGGGTTGTGGTAGTGCTTGTGAGGGGGTTGTGGTGGTGCTTGTGAGGGGGGTTGTGGTGGTGCTTGTGAGGGGGTTGTGGTGGTGCTTGTGAGGGGGTTGTGGTGGTACTTGTGATGGGGTTGTTGTAGGAATGGAGAACCATGCCATGGTACTATGTTAGGGATTGTTTCAAGCGCAGGTTTGACATATATGAATGAGTTTGAGTAGCTCTTATGTAGGAACTGGCTCGGGATAGGCCTCCTGCAGTTTCCTTAGACGTTAACAGATCTGTAAATACCATCATAAATATAAATTTTTTTAAGACTGTTATATGCCGGAAGGTAAGATCAAGGATAACGTTACTGGATAACTGATAACAATGATGACTACCAATATTTATGCTGGATGATCCTAATGTTGTTATTTTGGTTGTAGGAATATGTTCCCTGTGGTGAAGGTGTCTGTGGGGGACCTCGAGCCTTCGGCCATGTACTCCATATTTCTCGACTTTGTCCAGGTCGACTCCCACAGGTAAAAAAAAACTCTGTTATCTTGTGATTCAGCACTTGCAAAAATTCATTGCCAAATTTTTGTTTTGCTAGATAGTGGCTGATCAAAGGGCATTCCTTAAAGTCTTATTGTGTGTTACAGGTGGAAGTACGTGAATGGGGAATGGGTTCCTGGGGGCAAGCCCGAGATGGCCCCGCCGTCAGCCGTCTACATGCACTCCGACTCCCCGAACTTCGGCAGCCACTGGATGAAGGACCCCGTCTCCTTCATCAAGGTCAAGCTGACCAACAAGTCCAACGGCAACGGCCAGGTGAGAGTCCCGACCATTGTCTTACATGCTAACGGACATAACAAGCACGGATCTTGAAGTCGGCGCTGCCGATAAGTCATGCGAACGCTGAGTCTCAAGGACACTCTTCTCACCGTGGGTGTGGGTTATTTCCCTTGAATCTTAAAATAATGTCATTGCCAGTTTAGATGTGTGTAGGAGGTTCCAACTTCATGTGAGTTCTGCTGCATGATGGGGGGGGGGGGAGGGTGGCTTTTTGATTGACAGGTGGAGTGTGTAGACCACGTCTCAGCTGATGTGACCATGGATTGACAAGCCACGCCGCCCGACAATTAAAAGTCGTCAGAAAAACAGGGATGATAAAGTAACATAAACGCATCATGGGGGAGGGTCAGTAATCATGTTTTATGAGAGATGGCACCAGTCTCTCTGTCCCCGTGTGGGCCACACTCACCCTCCCTCCCTCTACCTGTCACGGCCTTCCAAAACACCCTCGCTTTATTCTCCCTAATAAGCAAGTTTCCCCTTTTAAGATAGATATAAGATTGACTAATGAGAAAAAAAATATAATACTTTGTTCAACATATGACATAAAATAGCTTTAGTGTTAATTATGCGTTAATGTGAGGTTGTGGAGGTCTATGGTGACGGGGCGAAGGTCCGACGGGTCTCTCCGCTGGGCGTCCATCCTGGCTTGTGGTAGGTGTTTAACTGTTCGATTGTGGCACCTCGAGCACCGTAAGGCTCTCCCTCACTACTGCCACTCGTGGTTCTCCCTCACCACCACCACCACTCGTGGCTCTCCCTCACCACCACCACCACTCGTGGTTCTCCCTCACCACCACCACCACTCGTGGCTCTCCCTCACCACCACCACCACTCGTGGCTCTCCCTCACCACCACCACCACTCGTGGCTCTCCCTCACCACCACCACTCGGAGCACACCGCCGCGCCTCCCGCTGTCAGCCTCAGTGTGTGCTCGCCACCGCTGGTCGCCGCCTGGAGTCTGGAGGTCAGTGGTGGCGTGCCGGGACCTCCCAGGGCCTGTGCCCTGTATTACGCTACTTATTGACCATTTAAAATCTTTAGAAGCATCATTTTACAGCTCCAATAAATACCCTGAGGACACCGGACACCTCCCGGGACCTGCCACGACCAATAAACCCGAACTAAAGATCTTCATTAGCCTCATACTGTAGGAGGGAGACCTCCTTAGGGGGACCTTGAGGACGCTAAGAGTTTAGATGTGGCAGTTTTCTTCAATTATTATAATTGATGTGTTAATTGACAAGATTATATACACTGTGTGTGTGTATTGACTTATGTGTTTGTGTTGTGAAGGTTTGTAGGGTTGTGATGTGGTCACTTTGACTTGTTGGTGTACCAAGTATTCTGCCTTGTTCCCTGTTGTGTTCCCTGCCATGTATCCTGGACCCTGCCCCATATACTGTCATACACCCTGCCCCATATACTGTCATACACCCTGCCCCATATACTGTCATACACCCTGCCCCATATACTGTCATACACCCTGTCCCATACTGTCATACACCTTGGCCCTTACTGTATAATGCACCTTGCCATGCGTCCTGCCTTGTTCCCTGTCTCTCCTCTTCCTCTAGACCTGAGCCTCACCACCTCCTCCTCCCCCAGACCTGAGCCTCACCACCTCCTCCTCCCCCAGACCTGAGCTTCACCACCACCTCCTCCCCCAGACCTGAGCCTCACCACCTCCCCCAGACCTGAGCCTCACCACCTCCCCCAGACCTGAGCCTCACCACCTCCCCCAGACCTGAGCCTCACCACCTCCCCCAGACCTGAGCCTCACCACCTCCCCCAGACCTGAGCCTCACCACCTCCCCCAGACCTGAGCCTCACCACCTCCCCCAGACCTGAGCCTCACCACCTCCCCCAGACCTGAGCCTCACCACCTCCCCCAGACCTGAGCCTCACCACCTCCCCCAGACCTGAGCCTCACCACCTCCTCCTCCCCCAGACCTGAGCCTCACCACCTCCCCCACCCCCAGACCTGAGCCTCACCACCTCCCCCTCCCCCAGACCTGAGCCTCACCACCTCCTCCTCCTCCCACAGATTATGCTCAACAGCCTGCACAAGTACGAGCCCCGCTTGCGGGTGGTGCAGGTGGTCCAGGTGGATAAGGAGCAGCAGCAGCGGATAATCTCCTGCCACACCTTCCCTGAGTGCCAGTTCATCGCTGTCACCGCCTACCAGAACGAGGAGGTCAGTGCCACTCTTCCACAGTTCTTTGAGGAGAACAAGAGAGCCAATGAGAGCTCTCGGCCTGTTCAAGTAATTACCCAGCCACACAAAAGTCATATTATTGAAAAGTGAAACACTTTTTGTTAACGCTAATAAAGTGTTCAAAAACCGTGGTCAGTCTTGTAGAGGCAAGACACTGACGAGCCCCTTGTCTCCCCTTGCACAGGTTAAGCAGCTAAAGATCAAGTACAACCCCTTCGCTAAGGCGTTCCTGGACCCGAAGGAGCGGCCAGACCTCCACGGGCAGCGGGACATGATGGCCGCCTACCCCCAACACCACCACCAGCAGTGTAGGCGTCACCTGTAGGCCTCATTCCCTCTGGGGTTCAAATATTATAGTATTTAGTAGGCCTGTTCACTCAGCTGAGAGATTCTACCAGGTGGTAGTGGCTGTAGTTCATGATTTTAAAAGCATTTTAAAAGCTCTACAATCACCTTCTGTGGTTGATTGTTCAATAAAGCCCTGGGACCAGATTCACGAAGCAGTTACGCAAGCACTTATGAACCTGTACATCTTTTCTCAATCTTTGGCGGTTTTGTTTACAATTATAGCTGCGAACCATCAGGAGACTGTTTATAATAATAACAAAAGTTAATTGGGAAGTTTTCATGCTTGTAAACTGTTTAATAAATGTAACCAAAGTCGTCAAAGATTGAGGAAAAATGTACACGTTCGTAAGTGCTTGCGTAACTGCTTCGTAAATCTGACCCCTGGACTATATGTTTAACAGAACTGTCCATGGGGGACAGAAGAAAATGTATATATGCTGGTTAGCATTGAAAGGTGTGGCCACGTCTGTGGTAGAAAATAATAATAATAATAAAAAAATCCTCTGCTTATATTCCTTTCGTACATTATGTATGCTGCGAAATCTCATTAAAATTTATATAGACATAGGCTCCACCCAGCCTATTCACAGCCCAATCAGCTCAAGGCATCGTCATACTAATCATCTAATCTTTGGGCACACAGATGGATGGTACATGGGAGGCGGGGCAGGGATGTGCAGCGGGGGTGTGGCCTACGGACAGGCTCCGCCCTCAGGGGTGGGGCTCGCTCCGCCCCCCGTCACGCTCTCCTCCCGCATTGCTGTCAACATGAGGAATCACCGGGTGGTCCCCTACACCTCCCCCACCCCCAGGACCTCCAGGACCCCGCCTGGTGAGACACGACCCTTCTCATTGGTTCTCATTTACCGCATGTTTCTCTTATTTGTTCACATTTACCTCACATTTCTCATTGGTTCTCATTTACCGCATGTTTCTCTTCTCATTTGTTCACATTTACCTCACATTTCTCTTCTCATTTGTTCACATTTACCTCACATTTCTCTTCTCATTTGTTCACATTTACCGCCCATTTCTCTTCTCATTTGTTCACATTTACCTCACATTTCTCTTCTCATTTGTTCATCGCCAAGTGAAACTGTTATTTGTGGGTACTTGAAGTTTGTTTTAAGACCTGGACAATCGTAAATGATAGGAAATTGATAGAAGTCACATTCCTGATAGTTGTGGTGGATAGTTACACTGGGGTGGTGGATAGTTACACTGGGGGTGGTGGATAGTTACACTGGGGGTGGTGGATAGTTACACTGGGGGTGGTGGATAGTTACACTGGGGGTGGTGGATAGTTACACTGGGGGTGGTGGATATTTACACTGGGGTGGTGGATAGTTACACTGGGGGTGGTGGATAGTTACACTGGGGGTGGTGGATAGTTACACTGGGGGTGGTGGATAGTTACACTGGGGGTGGTGGATAGTTACACTGGTGTGGTGGATAGTTACACTGGGGGTGGTGGATAGTTACACTGGGGGTGGTGGATAGTTACACTGGGGGTGGTGGATATTTACACTGGGGGTGGTGGATAGTTACACTGGGGGTGGTGGATAGTTACACTGGGGGTGGTGGATAGTTACACTGGGGGTGGTGGATATTTACACTGGGGGTGGTGGATAGTTACACTGGGGGTGGTGGATAGTTACACTGGGGGTGGTGGATATTTACACTGGGGGTGGTGGATAGTTACACTGGGGGTGGTGGATAGTTACACTGGGGGTGGTGGATAGTTACACTGGGGGTGGTGGATAGTTACACTGGGGGTGGTGGATAGTTACACTGGGGTGGTGGATAGTTACACTGGGGGTGGTGGATAGTTACACTGGGGGTGGTGGATAGTTACACTGGGGGTGGTGGATAGTTACACTAGTGTGTGGTGGATAGTTACACTTGTGTTTGGTGGATAGTTATACTGGTGTGTGGTGGATAGTTCACACTGTTGTGGTGGATAGTTACACTGGTGTGGTGGATAGTTACACTGGTGTGGTGGATAGTTACACTGGTGCGTGGTGGATAGTTACACTGGTGTGGTGGATAGTTACACTGGTGTGGTGGATAGTTACACTGGTGCGTGGTGGATAGTTACACTGGAACCTGGGACTTGCAAATTTTGGACCTGGCCCTCCGGTATTTTTAATGTATATATTATTTGATACCTGTCTCGTCTCCTTCATAGAGAGTGCATAGTGAGAGCTTTGAGACGATCCCAACAATTTAGGAGCTTTACCGTGTCTATTTCTGCCGTATATGTTCTCTGTATTCCCTCTACTTCAGCAACCTCTCCTGCTCTGGGAGGGGAAGTGAGTATCGAGCAGTACTCAAGGCGGGACAGCAGTGATTTGAATAGTATAATTATTATGACAGGATCCCTGGATTTGAAGGTTATTTTCAAATATTTCTTTTATTTTTCCTATTATTATTCCATCCAATTGTTTTTCTAACTGGCGCAATATTTGCTTGGTTATGCTCCCTAAATGTTAGGTCGTAAGACATTATTATTCCCAGATCATTTACATGTTATTCTATGTTCTATGTTTCAGTGAGCGGCATGTCTCAGCAGCAGCCTTGCGTTAGCAGCTACGGCCTGGCTGGGCTGACAGCGGAGTGGAGGCAGCAGTCGTGGGGGCACCATCATCACCAACCCTCCGTTACCGTCACGCCTTCCACCGCTGTCACCCCCGCACACTACCAGTGGTCGGGTCTTCAGAGCGGCTACGCCCACCCATCTCACCACAGCACAGGCTTCTACCAGGGATACCAGCAGTGTGGAGCCCCGGGAATAGGTCTCGGCAACGCCTCAACGTGTGCAGCCCCTTCACACAACGCCTACCATGCCCAGCGCTCCCCACAAGAGGCTCTCACGCCTATGGCTACTTACTCCGATACCTCCACTAGCCAGGGTTTCACAACCAGCCGTTCATCTCCCGCATACGAGTCAGTGCACGTTCTGGGCACCAATGCGGGGATTTACAGCGCTGGTCGCCTTCACGAAGACTCCTCCGATCATCACAGCACCGGGGACGGATCTCCACAGTCGGTCGGGTCTCTATCTCTCAGCCACACTACCCAGGCTGACATGTTCATCCTACCCGACCTTGGCTATCATAGTGGCCTCACTGCCCCCCACACTGACATGACGCGCATCAAAGGAGAAAACCTCAGCGCCTACAGCAGCGCCTCACCACACGGGTGGAGTCCGCTCTCCCCACCCTAAATGTAAGATTCCACAGCACACCTGTTTCCTGCTCAAGTTCCCAAAGTAGCATTTAATTTGAACTCTCGCATCTAAGACCTAGGCGGGTGAGTCGCCCATTTAAGACTTAGGTGGGTGAGTCACCCACTTAAGACCTAGGTGTGAGAGATGCCCATGCAAGACTTAGGTTTGTGAGCCAAACATTCAAGGCCTGGGTAAACAGACCTTATATATTTAGGTGGTCGAGCCACCCATTCATTACCTGAGTATAACAACAATTATTAAGGTGGGGAAGGCAATCATCCATTACCTGGGTGACTACACCATTAATTACTGAAGTGGGCGAGCCAATCATTCATTACCTACATAAGAAAACTGCCATTTATTTAGCTGGATAAGTCACTCATTCAAGATCTAGGTAAACAAACAATTAATTGTTGATATGGATGAGTCGCCCAGTTATGCAGGTAGATGTGCTACTCATCCAAGATCAAGGTGGGTGATTCCCTTTCCCCCACACCAACAATTAAGTTGGTGAACCAACATCCAGGCTGCCACTTGCGGGCCGTTTCTCCATTCTCGAACTTGTCCCTTCAGTGTAGGGGGCACCTGGCCACACTACACTGCCTGTGTACTCTAGCAGGTGTAACCTCCCAGGAATACCAACAATTATTGAGCTATTTATGCTACACTTTGGCCTCTTAGTCGTGTTAATCTTGATAGTTTAAGTTTTGTATTGAGGCATTGTAAGCCCAGAGTGGATTCAGGGTGCCATACACTAAGTAAATTAAATGTACAAAGTACATTTATATATTATTTTTTTGTATTTATGAGTTATCCAAGATAGGCTGTGTAATTTAAAACAATCACGTTTTGCTCTGTATTGTGTTGTATTTTTCAGAGAATTTTTGTGTGGTTGGGCAATATTGCAATGTATGTTATGTAAATTTCCGGAGAGATGTGTGTTCATTAAACACTGGTGTGTGCGTAGTGTGGATGAGGACCATGCCAGAAACCTTGTGTGTGAACGGCTGAGAGATTGTAAGATAAGCTGAAAGTAAGTCCCACACCTTCCTCCACAAAATATAAATGATAACTGATAACTTTTATCGTTTTATTATCTTACCTTCTCTGACGTAGCATTACGGACTTGATTAAAATCAATCCATAATAGGCAACATAGCGGAACATGTTGTTACCAAACTCTTGGATGCAACATAACAGGGGCTGAGTAAAGCCGACCACAATAGGCAACATAACCAAAGTACACTCCGGATAGGCTACATAACGGAGCCCAGCGCCGCTCCTCAAATGTCTGCCGCGGCCAGGCTGCTTAACTATATCATCTCTGCCACGCCGGGAATCTGGCTGACAGCGTTATTTTAGCCGAAATAATAACTCGCTGGTTGCCAGTGTTGGAAATTTTACCAACTTTATCAACATTATTATCTATGAAATGTATTATTTCTATATCATATCAGAATAACTTCAGATTCATTAAAATCCTGCATCTGGATCCTTCATGACAATGCTACTATGATCACGTACACCATAAGGCCAGTGGTGCCTACGTGACTTTGTACATGATTTCTTAAGGATCTAGAAGCTTCAAGAGGAATATCTTATCTACAGCTCCCTTAAGAATAACACCAAACAAGAGGCGAAACCTTTGACAACCTGGCTGATCTTCCTTTCATACCAACGCGCAAATTTTTGACGCGTCGTTCATCCAAAATGCACTCAATTTGGGAGCCAGTTTTGGCAACAGGTTGGCACCCCTGACACACAGCCGTACCAGCAATCAAAATAAATGATAATACAAAATGATTCTAAATACATTTCTAGTAAGTCCTCACAGCCGCAGACAGCAGCACGGGGAGCACAACACTATTTACACCGCCTCTCTTTACTTATTTCTATGTATCTAAACTTAACCAATTTGTGGCCATTTGTGGCACTTTACCCCAAACACTACTCCCCATTTTGTACCAGGAGTGACTGTGAAGCACCTTGAGTGAATATGAAGTACCATATGAGTGCCTGTGAAGCACCTTGAGTGAATATGAAGTACCATATGAGTGCCTGTGAAGCACCTTGAGTGAATATGAAGTACCATATGAGTGCCTGTGAAGCACCTTGAGTGAACATAAAGCACCATATGAGTGGTTGTGAAGCACCTTGAGTGAATATGAAATACCATACAGGTGAGTGTGAGGTACCGTGAGTGACTGAAGTATCGTGAGTGAATGTGAAATGCCGTGAGTGGCTGTGAAGTACCATATTGGTGACTGAAGTATAATGAGTGATAGTGACACGGTAATTTTTAACGAAGGACGGATTCTTCCTGGATAATTAAATCACTTGTCATCAGGTGTAGTGTGGCTGTCGACCCCATCCTTATGGGGGAGACGGGGTGATGGGGGAGGTTCAGGGGGTGAGGGTGAACGATAGGGGGTGGAGAAGCAGGGTACGGAATAGAGGAGAAAGATAGGGGGTAGAGGAGCAGGGTAAGGGGGGTACAGGAGCAGAATAAGGGGGTAGAGGAGAAGGGTAATGGGTAAAGGAGCAGGATAAAGGGGTAGAGGAGCAAGGTAAGGGGTACAGAAGCAGGGTAAGGCGTAAAGAAGCAGGGTAAGGGGTAGAGGATCAGGGTAATGGGTAGAGGAGTAGGGGGATCTCCACTCCCACCCTTGACACACCCCTCTCCGCCCCCCCACCCCACAACGGCCCCACTACCACCCCCTAAACTACCACTATTGTGGCCGTGGTTCGTGCCCCACCGGTACACCCTTGCTACTCCACACTTGACGCCCTCCAAGTCACTTGTCCTCACTCTCAACACAAGTCCTCCGGTGAAATGTTTCGCACGTCGGGTTCATTCTGGATTCGCAATCGGGAATTCAGGATTCGAATCCCAGGCAGGACAGAAATGGTTGGGCGCCTTTCCCATCACCTAATGCCCTTCATGTTCACCTAGCAGGAAATAGGGTGGACGTCGATATGAACCTATCATGGATATACACTGGCTGCCTGTCCCCCGACTGAATGAACTATTATTGACCATACATAAAATGAACGTATTAGAATGGTTCCTTCGGGTTGATGAACGTTCATCAACCCGACGGTGCAGCAGCACATTCCAAGATGAATGGTGTGACCAAACAAGGGGATCCAAAGTGTGACCAAACAAGGGGATCCAAAGTGTGACCAAACAAGGGGATCCAAAGTGTGACCAAACAAGGGGATCCAAAGTGTGACCAAACAAGGGGATCCAAAGTGTGACCATTTCCATCACAAGGATCCAGTGACTGACCATCCTGACAATAGGGCTCCACGATGCTTCCTTTTCTACCTTATCTTGTCTAGGGTCGTTAGGTTCAGCTCCTCCAACCACTCCTCGTGCGTCCCCCCCCCCTCTCCCCATTGGTCTGGGACAAGCCTCGTCGCAAATTGCTTGATCTAACTCCACGCCGGCGCTACGTATTGTAGGACTCGTCTTCCGTAGGTAGTATACAGTGTTATGAATTCCTCCGTCTAATGGATTCCAAATATTAGAGGCTTTGAGAGAGTGAGAGACAGAGAGAGAGAGAGAGAGAGAGAGACAGAGACAGAGAGAGAGAGAGAGAGAGAGAGAGAGAGAGAGAGAGAGAGAGAGAGAGAGAGAGAGAGAGAGAGAGAGAGAGAGAGAGAGAGAGAGAGAGAGAGAGAGAGAGAGACAGAGAGAGAAACAGAGACAGACAGACAGACAAGCAGGCAGGCAGGCAGACAGACAGACAGACAGACACAGACAGACACAGACAGACAGACAGACAGACAGACAGACAGACAGACAGAGACAGACAGACAGACAGACAGAAGGAAGAGGTGCCCTGCCCTCAGTTCCAATCACAACATCAACAAGACCTGAGATAAGATACAGAACAAGGAGTCACGTATCACCATCAACGACAATTAAAACCTCGAATTACAGCTACCTGGGTATGAGAGAGGTCATTTCCGTCCGCGGGAGTGACACTGGGGCGCTAAACCCCCCCCCCTCCCTAAGGGTCCAGGGGAGGTGACCCCTGACGTGACCCAACGGGGCCGGGGTCATGACCTCGCCCGGCCTGGCTCCAGCTCCTGCCTTGCGTCCTGCCACTTGGAATGTGTGATACGTCAGACTGTTGTTTTACACTCAGCTACTGGGAACAAAAAGTTGCAAGTAGCAGACGCTAGGGATCGCTAGGTGCCCGGGACTGAAGAAACAAGGTTTAACATTATATAAATTTGGATCACTATCTCTTTCCTCCTGAAGTCTCAAGCTTCCACTTAAGCTCTTGACGACATTCCTAAAGCTTGCTCTACCTCTATATTTCCCCTCTCCCCCTCTATATATCCCCTCCCCCCTCTCTGTATCTCTCCCCCCTTCCTCCCTATATCTTCCCCCCCTTCCTCCCTATATCTCCCCCCCTTCCTCCCTATATCTGCCCCATCCTCCCTATATCTGCCCCTCCTGCCCCAGGCCGACGTCTGCCCTCTCACCCCCACCTGCCCTCTCACCCCCACCTGCCCCTGACCAACAAGTGCTCAACCCGTGGTCATGATGTCACGTGATGTGACCTAAGGCCGTGCGAGGCCCTCAGCTCTGATGTGCTAATTGGAGTAGAGGAGCGCGGCTCTGTGAGGCCCACCGCCGCCGCCACCGTCCGCTGCACGATGCGATGACCGCTAATTGCCTCGTTCTGACCGCACACCTCACTAACCACCCCCGACCCTCCCCGATGAACTTAGTGGCTCTTGCCTGAGACTGTGAACTTAGTGGCTCTTGCCTGAGTCTGTGAACTTAGTGACTCTTGCCTGAGTCTGTGAACTTAGTGGCTCTTGCCCTGAGACTGGGAACTTAGTGGCTCTTGCCTGAGTCTGTGAACTTAGTGACTCTTGCCTGAGTCTGTGAACTTAGTGGCTCTTGCCCTGAGACTGTGAACTTAGTGGCTCTTGCCTGGGTTTGTGAACTTAATGGCTCTTGGCCTGAGACTGCGAACTTAGTGGCTCTTGCCCTGAGACTGGGAACTTAGTGGCTCTTGCCTGAGACTGGGAACTTAGTGGCTCTTGCCCTGAGACTGGGAACTTAGTGGCTCTTGCCTGAGTCTGTGAACTTAAGTGGCTCTTGGCCTGAGTCTGTGAACTTAGTGGCTCTTGCCTGAGTCTGTGAACTTAGTGACTCTTGCCTGAGTCTGTGAACTTAGTGGCTCTTGCCCTGAGACTGTGAACTTAGTGTCAAGACACCCGGTACAGCCTCGCTCGCAAGGAAGTAGCAGGAAGGCTTGAACAAACAGTTTTATTGGTCATATTCTCGTAGTTTTCTACCATGCTCAGAGAGCTCGGCGCTCGCAAGTTATAGTTCATTGTTTACATAACAGATCAGAAGAACCTTTCTTGTAGGTATATTGACACGACAATACGAGAGTCGTCAACGCTGTCAATAGTCGTCAACGCTGTCAAGAGTCGTCAACACTGTCAAGAGTCATCAACGCTGTCAAGAGTCGTCAGCACTGTCAAGAGTCGTCAACGCTGTCAAGAGTCATCAACGCTGTCAAGAGTCGTCAACACTGTCAAGAG